ATACAAACAAAAGTAGACCTCTGCCACAACTGTTCCTGCCCAACCTTTTCTATCCTTATAGAAATACATTCTGTGGGCTGGGGTTGTGGCATGTGCGAGGCCCTGGGTTCGATCCTCAGCACCAAAATAAATAAATAAAGGTACTGTATCCAACTACAACTAAAAAAATAAATAAATACTTAAAAGAAATACATTCTGTACATATGTAAGTGAACATACATATATAAACACATTTTATATATGTATTAACAACATTGGCACGTTTTATATATGCATTTTATATATGTACTAACAACTTTGGCACATCCACCAACATTATGCATGCTATTTTTTTCACCTAATGTACCTTAACTCTTCTTTCATATCAACCCATCTTTTTATTTTTAATCAGAAGAAATTACACAGGGGAAGGAAGATAAGCTTGAATTCTTTAAGAAAACTTAAAATATAAGCCAAGCACTGTGCTGCACTCCTATAATCCCAGAAATTCTAGAGGCTGAGACATGAGGATCACAGTTTTGAGGATAGCCTGGGCAATTTAGCAAGGTCTTGTCTCAAAATAAAATTAAAAAGGAACTGGGGATATGGCTCAGTTGTAAAGTACCCCTGGGTTCAGTCCTCAGTAATATCAAAATAATAAAATAAAACACCTTGAAATGTTTCCATGTGTAGAACAGGAATATTTTTTCCAAATGACAAAATGATAGCTATGAGACTGTTCCTAAGTCAGAATTATCCAATAGAAATAACATAAGCCCGTATGTAATTTTAAATTCTCTAATAGTCAGATTTTTAAAAGTAAATGAAACAAGTAATCTTAATTTTAATAAGATATTATAAATATATCCATGATATTATCATTTCAACATGAAAATCATTGTAGTTATTAATGAGATATTTTACGTTTTTTTCCTCAGTCTTTGAAAATTCTGTATTATGAACTTACAGGTGTATCTCAATTTCAGCCACGTGAAAAGCACCCCGTGTGGCTAATGGCTAGTTTACTAGACAGTGCAGTTCTAAACCTTCCCTTACCAACTGTTTTGACCAGATACAATGACTACACAGAAATCTAATTGTAATAACTAACATCTGATGTTTAAAATAAGATTTAAGATGGCACATACCTTTTCTTTTAAACAGAAATAGTGGTTCTGATATTTGCTATTGCAAATTGATTCTGCGTTCTGTCTGATTCATAGCTCTGTTTTAAATAGATATTAAATATTTAATATTAACATTTAATATTAAAAATATTAAGTAATATTAAATGTTTGCATATCCTTTTTATACGTATCTTTTATTTGTTTCTAGGTCTCCTTGTTAGGATAATAACTTAATTCCTATTGTTTAGGTATGTGCTAATAAAACACGTTCCTTAAATATTCTTAAAACAATAAAATAACTTCAAGGCTTTTTTTTTTCTTTTTAAATTGCTGCAGTCTAGTTGTGAAAAATCCCATATTTCTTACTTTAAGCAGGGAGTGCCTTGTAAGTATGTAAAATGCATCTTGCCAGTTTTAAGTGGCAGCATTTAATGGTGCCACATATAGATCGAAAATGCATCGAACTGTTTCAAGGTGAGTTCCAAATGTTCTCCTTCTTCCCAGAATAAGAGAGAAGATGAAGACAATACAGAGTAAGCTATTTCATGCTACAAATTGGAGCCACTCAACAAATAAGGCAATGATTGATGGGACATCTGATGACCACAGTTCTATCTTGTTTTGTTTTTATTTTTGTTTTTTTATTCCCTCTTCTATCAGGTATTCCTGTCCAGAACTTGGATTTCCTTAAATGATTCCACATTCAAAACCTGAGCATTGTAAGCAAAATAACTATGATAAAAGGATGGGAATTCCATCATTATTGAAGGAATTATATGACAACTTCACAGCAGGAATGTGCATAGATTAGATCATATTTCCAATCCATGTTGACTAATTGGTATCATTATATAATTTTAAACTTAAAGTTTAAAGCTTAAAGTTATATTAAAATTTTATTAAATCCATGAAAACTGAAATTTTCTAATTTAAATCCTTAGGGGAAAAAAACTTTTCTCATATATTCATTAAGTGAAAGAAAATATACTTAGTTGATATTCTCAATTGCTGCATATTCAGAGCAAAAGTGATTAGGTTGTGCTTGTGTCCCCCCAAGTCCACCAACATGGTGCTGAAGATTGTGAGGTCTCCAGGAGGCAGCAGTGTCCAGAGGGGTTCATTACCCCTCTGGAGGAGGAACAGGTATGCTGAGATGCACGGAAAGCCCAGGACATTCCCAGCAGTAACTACTGTCCTCTCTTGACCCTGCCCAAATGGCCCTGCTTTCTGGCTCATAGAAAAACATATCAACAGGAGCGCTAGAAAACCCAAAGAGACACTCTCAGAGTTGGTTCCTAGACCATACAACCTGCTGTAGACTCACTTAAGTGACCAGCCTCCAACCAATAATAAACTAAGCCAAATACTGAGTGAAACCAGTGTGCATTTTATCCGTCTCCACCCCCAGTCCGAGAACAACCTTTATCCCACCATCTGCAATTACCTATAGCACCTGACCCTTAGCTTCTTTGGTGTCCCTGGTGCTAGGTACTTCAGTGACTTGCATTTGTTATTGCCTTTGTATCCCAAAGCCCCACGTGCAAAAAGAGTTCTCGTGGGCGGCTGGGATCCCTCTTCCTTGAACACCATGAAAAAGAGACCCATCAAGGTCTTTGTCAGGCTTCTGTGCTGTGCCCATACTATTTAGTACAACCTGCTGGCCCTGGTTTGTTGTATCCCAGTCACCCTCATTATAAGTACGTGACACCCTTTATTATAACAAAACTTCTGATTATAAGGCATTACCTGAAAGGTTTTATCCAAACTACACCTTCTGAAAAAGAGGGTGAAGCAGTCTTGAAGGGGCTCAGGCCATCCCTAAGCTTCTCGCATTCTGTGAATTCAATTCCACGATCGGGTCTGGAGCCCCTTATGTAAAACCCCCGTTTCTAAATAGACACATAAAAAATAATAGACATATTTAAAATATCAGAACTATACAGTTTCTAAGGGAATTTTTTTCCCAAGAAAGAGGAAAATGTCTTTTATCTAAGATAATGAACAAACTCTTGACCATTTAAAATATCTGTGCGTTAATGAACTGAAAAGAGCAGTGTTCCTGAGTTCCCACTGAACTCTTGCAATGTACTAACACTTTGATTTCTTTCTCAAAACAGATGGGATTCACAATCTAAAAATATGCCTGTATCGTTACACTGATTATTGGGGCCACCAATTTAATTTAGAAATGCTTCTCTGGTGCTCATCAGCATGGCAGGCACTCAGACTCCTCTGAGGCATTATGAGTAGTTTGGGGGAATGGACCTTTCTGTATACTAAACCTGGCTTCAAGGGTATTCCTAAACTCTGAGCCAGCTGAGCAAGGTCTGAAGGAGCAATCCGAGCTCTGCCTGTGAGCACAGTGCAAATGATATGTAGGTATAATGCTCGTGGAAGGGCTGGGCTTGCTACTTTCTGTCTTTTGGTTTTAAATGATGTACTGAAAGTATGGTCCCGTCTGGGCACTATAGTGCATATCTGTAATCCCAGCTACTTAGGAGGCTAAGGCAGGAGGATTCCAAGTTCAAGGCCAACCTCAGCTTAGTGAGACTCTCTCAAAATAAATTTTAAAAGGGCTAGGAGATTTAGCTCAGTGGTACTCTTGGTTTAATCCCCAGTATGAAAAAAAAGGAAGGAAGAGAAAATGTAATTCCACAGCATTTACACCTAGACTACTACTCAAAGTGACCTAGTAATTAGACTTGTGCAGTTAATCGATCAGAAAAGATTCACAGGGCACTGTATTCATTAAATTACGTGAAGCATTCCCGCCACCCTCTGGGATTCCTTTAGCACAGCTGTGTATCCCTCTTCATGCCCCCATCTCTTGATCTTGTTCGGGTTTCTTGGTCCTTTCCCCAGTGTATCTTCTGCCCGAAAGATATGAGAAAGAAAAGGGAAAGCAAACTCTAAGTGGTTGACTTTATTTCTTTGTACCCTTTAAAAAGTGTAAAGCCATAAATAGGACGTCCAGCCATTAAATCATTGTCCTTTAATTATCAACTCTCAGCCAAAAATAAAATCATCAATAGACTCTAAATATCACAAATTTATAAGTATTTGTGAAGTGTACGTATAAAAGCCTTGATTGCCTTGGCTTTTGTTATGCCTGGTCCTAGGGATTTTCTTATTCTTTTTCAGCATTTAGATTATTTATGTCACTGTGACATAAATAATCTAAATGCTGTGAGGGATTGCTTCTAGAGCTGGCTTCTCATATAATTGCATTAGTCAACTAAAGGTCTCAGAAGATGTACTAGATGTGATGGTTACTCTTAAAAGAAACTTCTATAATTTCAAAATTTTGTAGGTAAAGATTTACATAAGGATATGTACATCTGTTTTGCCCAATAATGACCTAGAGCAGGACTGTCATTTAAACTAATTTTTGGTGGATATAAAAAACAAAACCAAAAATTAAAATAATTTTTTAAAAGTTTTTATTTGGAGGGGACACATTTTCTCATACTGAGGACTGTTTTGCAGTTCTGATGCTGATCATCTACCCATTTTTTACTTTAAATGAAGCCTTATCTACCAATTTTTCACTGCACTGAAGAGTATACTACAAATAGAAAATCCTTCTCTTACGTGTGTGGACCATGAGGACCAAAATCAGAAATTTAGAGTAGAAATACAGTGTTTGCTTATGATCAAATGGTACCCAGGTCCTGGGTTCAGATATCTCAATGACTATGCTGCCGGGTTCATCTGAAATCCCTGCTTCTGGCTGTCTAAGCAGTCCTTGCTTCACCTCTGTACATAGGATCCTTTAAAAACCAGAATAGTGTTTTACTCTGAGTAGGTATTTATGGAATGAGCCATTATGTAACGCATTAGAATCAGTTAAACATAAATTTTTTTCTCTTTTTATGCACTACTTGACATCAAAAGCAAAAAGAGGTAAGTTGGCTATAAACATGTAGGTGAACCTTGTTTTCCTTCATAGATTTATTCCTGAAGCTTTTGTTCAATTAAATTTCTATCAATCAAATACTTTCACCTTAGGAAGCTTGTAATTGTAAATACTTATTTTTTTTTCTTTGAAAAAATGTATAAGCACCTTCTGTAAACTTGGATTTTAAAAATATCTACTCTTTAAACACATTGCTCTTCCTTTAAGTTGTACTTATGCTTTAATTTATTTATGAGAACTTAGGGCATTTTGAAACACTTAGTTTCATTTTGGGTTTCTGAATTGTTTCCCCCCCAAAATGTGGATTACATTGATAAGCATTTCTTTTCTTAAAAGGGGAGGAAAAAAAGCCAAGAAACAAGTGACATTGATGAAAGTCTATAATTTTCAGATCCATGGATTTACAGAAGAGGATGCCTTGAGCCTCTCAGAACATATTCTAGTATGATCATTTTTTTTGCAATGATTTTTTTAAAGTGAAGAAAATATTAAATCAGAAAAAATCAAACACATTTCATTGAGTGGTGTCTCATATATTTTTCCGGTCTGGGGTCTAATTTCACAAGTGATCTGTTCAGTGGGTTCTTGGTTGTGGCTTGCTTAATGTCCTTCTCGTTCGTGTCTTTGATGATGAATTCATTCTGCCATTTCAGAGGAGAAGCTGGTCTTCATTTGATACATGCTATTATTGACTTACCAAGAACAGACCACCACACCACCTTGAGTTAACTCTGTGCCGGCTGGCATTGCTCTTGAGAAGGTTATTTGCAAACAAAAAGCTGTGTTTTAAAAGCTGTTTAATTGGTGTAAGAAGAGTGTACTTTTCCCTCTTAGTGCCACTGTACTCAATCCTTCCCAGCCGTTTCCTCCTCCTCGTCTCTCCTGCCGTAGGCTGTTGGTGACACACATGCTCACGGTTTAATTGTAAGCTGTTCAGAAGCACAAAGGTGACTAGACTGCAGGGCACTTTTATATTTCTCTTCTGCAAGATTTGAAATAAAAGTAGACTTTTCTATGAATCCCGATTTGCTTTATTGGCCAGACATATGATATTCATTAATATAGGAAATGGAAAGTTGAGTGAGTTTTTGTCTAATCAATAATCACTACAAAATCTAAAAAATGCTCCCTCTCTTCTTAGCGAGTCATGTTCTAATTCTACATCGTGGAAGATAATTTTAATGCCTGTCACCAAGGTGTGATAAACTAGATGCAGTTGTCACTTACAGGAGACAGAGCCAGATGCTTTTTAAGATTTGTCACCAGGTTTTATCTTTTTATTTTATTTTTTGCATGATCTATATTTTTTTTAAAAATTATGTGTTTCAACAGTTCTTTTTGTTCTCTGAAGGTTATTACTGAATAAACGTAGTATGGAAATTGCTGTTAAACACTGATGTAAAGAGAAGTGTGTGGTGTTATCAATTAGCAGATTACATCCCTGAGAATTTGGAAATGATGCTGTTGTCTTACCTGTGGATTCTTTCAGAGAAACTAATGTGTTAACAGAACATATGATGTGTTTGTCAAAAAGGGATGAGATGGCCAACTCTATGTGTTTGATTAAAAAATGTCAAAGGTTGTTCATACCTACCTATTTTTATTAGTATCAATGTATCGTTAAACTCATCATTAGATATTTTTAAAGATTTCAACTTTTCCTAACTACTATATAAATATTAGTATTTGTGTGTTTCTTGTGTTCTTATTTTTCTTTATCACATATCTATCTCAAGTTGTTCTATTTTTTTCCTATATTCTTTATATACCTGTCTTTTCAATTCATGTGTTTAGGAGTCCAAATAGGACTATATAATGTTCAAGTTGTTACCACAGGGAGAATTTACTTGATGCTTCTTTTCATTAACTTTTTTGTTAATTCATTAACCCATTATTAATCATCTTGTAGATTTAGTGAGGAATAATTCAGTATTAATGTTACTTAACACTTCATAAATAATGAGTTTAAATATTATCTTCAATATTTATGCATCAAAGTCTTACGCTATAATGGCTCCAATTATCAGAAAAGAAAAAATATTATCATTACACTAACTTTAAAAACTTGCCCGGCACTGTGGCACACCCCCCTGATCCCAGCTATTCGGGAGGCTAGGGCAGGAGGATAGCAAATGCAAGGCTAGCCTGGGCACTTTAGTGACACCCTCTCTCAAAATAAAATAAAAAGGGCTGGGACTATAGCTTCATGTTGATAGAGCACCCCTGACTTCTGTCCCAATACGGGAGGGGAAAAAAAAAGAACCCTTTATCAGACAGTGTTTGAAAGATGTTATGATATCAGAAATGTCTGAATTGCAAACTCTCCCTTCAAGTGGATCTCTCAAACATTGATAAAGTCCTAACAATGAACAAATCCAAGGATCCTTTAAGAGACGTGACATCTATGTAAGCAGGTATTTTGAGCCACATGGAAATTCTCTAAACAAACCTCTATGGAGAAACAAAGAATTATGACACAGGGTCCTGCCTGCTGCTGGGGGAGCAGACATACTTTCAGGAAAGCAGTGGTCAAAAGTTGGGCAAGAAGTGCTGAAGGAGATTAGGGGAGCAGAAGTTTCCTTCTGGAGTGATCAGGAATAAAGACTGACGCTGGTTGGCTCTGAACAGTCCGAGAAATCAGGAACACTTCAGCTGGATATATAACGATAGCAACAAATGGCTACGGAAATGAGTTAGTTCATCATAGGGTCTGTTTGGGCCTTTCTTGATGGATTGCTGTTAATAGCTTTGTTTCTTAAAGCTGAAAACCCCTAGGTCACGATTCCCCCCCTTCCCTTGTCTCTTGTCTCATCAGTAGACTGCATGTTTTCACAAACATCCTCTCTCTGGTCTTCTTAAGAGCCCTGCAAGACTGATATCTCATGTTCTCACTTATCAAACAAGTGAGGCTTAAAAACTGAGGCTTAACATATTTAAGTCCCTTCTTTAGTGTCACTCAACTATGGTTGGCAGAGCAGTGGTGCAAACTTGTGAGACTCTACAAGTAGGTCCAAAAGTACCTACAAACTGTAGGTGCCATGCCAAAATGGAGATTTGAGAATACAGAATAAAGACAGACAATAAAGGCCACAAGCAGTCATTGCAAAAGCGTCATTGGCAAGTAGAGGTGGGATGACTGTGGTTAGCCTATTATCCATAACTGATCTTTGTGTAAAATCCTCACTTAAGACCTGAGTGTATCTGTGAGATTGTCAGTTACCAATTATGGAGAGTGCTTTGTGCTTCAACCACAAACTTTCAGAATTCCTGAGTTTGGGAGACTTGTTTGTAATTACACAAGTTTTCTATCTCCACCTCAGTGTATAGTATATAGAAATTAATATTTTCTACTAATGTAATTACAAATTCTCAAACATAATTCTCAAGTTTAACATTCTATCATTGGTTTAGTTCTCTTAATACCACTAATTTGGACATTTTCTCTTTTTTTCTCTCTAGCATGCTTTTTGCTAAGAAGAAAATCTGCTGAAATTCAAGTGCATATTTTCATTCATAATTTGTACTGCTGGGCTTGTGTATATATCATTTTGCTTTGAGTTCATTTCAATCCTCGGAGAGCTTAGAGACTAGAAGAATTTGAGAGAACTGTTGCTGTTTGGGTTTATTTGTACTGCAGAGCACTCTTGGCAGAGTCAGCAGAAGTAATCCCTGCTTCCACTTTGGAGCAAGTACCAAAGGCTCTGTTTGCTCCAGATGCCATTACAAAATACCACAGATAGAGCAACTTAAACAAATAAATTTATTTTTCCCAATTCTGGAGGTTTGAAGTCCAAGTTCAAGGTGCCAGCAGATTTGGTTTCTCTGGAGGCCTCTCTCCTTGGCTTGCAGACGGCCGCCGCCTTGCTGAAGCCTCACGTGGTCTTCCTCTGTGCATGTGCACCCCTGTGTCTCTGTAATCTCCTCTTTACACAAGGACAGGAGTCGGATTGAATTAGGGCCAACTCTACCGGTGTCATTTTAACTTAAATCACCCCACTAGTGACCTCATCTATCCTTTTGAGTTTTTATAAGGATTAAAGAGTCTGCATGCAAAGTACCTGGCCTTGGTATGTTCATATGTAGGTGTGTATACACACATTTACATAGATACACATACATGTGCACGTATGTATACACTATATATATGACTTTATAGATATTATGTTACCATTATTTCTCATTCTTCCTTCTTCCTTCTGCTCTCCTTCTGCCTTTTCTTCCTTTTTCTGTCATTATGCAAGTCTGCATGCCCAGACTTGCAGAAAGAAGTTGGAGATCCTTTTCCCTCCCATCAGGACATAAAAGAAAATGCCTCAATGCTTTGATCATTAACCATGCTGTGTTGATCTTAAGACAGTCCATAACTCTGTCAATTTCCTATCTAGGATCTTTCATAATTAATCTTGCTTTTCTGCTTACTGTTAATTAGTCATCTGTGGAAGGTCTTTAATGAATATTGACTGTTTACTCCAAGTATGTAAGAATTTTGGTCCAAGTGGTATCTATTTGAAAATAGCAGCGAAGTCATATTCTGTGACAGCAATTGTTCAAGGAGATTTAGTAAACTTTTAAAAAAATTCTTTTAGTTGAACATGGACATAATTCCTTTGTTTTACTTATTTACTTTTTATATGGTGCTGAGGATCGAACCCAGTGCCTCACGTGTGCAAGCACTCTGCCACTGAGCCACAACCCTAGCCCCTAAGATTTAGTAAACTTTTAAAAACAGACTTGAAACAGTACACCAAGTTAACAAAGACGACTGAGCATCTCATCAAGAGGCATGTGTGCACTTTGTACCATGAACTTGCATTTCCCCTGCCTATTTTTGAGAATAAGTATGAGTTGTCATTTTCAAAACAAGAGGAAGGCCCACATCCCTTTCCTTTTCATTTTTCTTATTGAAGGAAAGATTAAAAAGTTACAGATGGGGTGGTAGGGGGTGG